ACTTGCATAATTTTGTAGAGTAACGTCCGGACTATCTACGCATGCAAAAAAGTTACTAACATTGTATGTTAGCTTTCTGACAACGGAGCTGGCTTTCCAAAGATCCTCTGGAAACCCGGTCTCTGGAATTTTTTCAAAAGTTGCTTCCGCTTGTGAAAAGTTCTACTCAAGTCTTGGCTATTGAACAGCGAAAACCGCAGGTCTCTATCTCATTCCTATCAAAGTTATTCAAAAAGTGGCACCCGGCACTGTATTTTGGTATGGATAGTAGTTTATGATTAAAATTTAGGGTTTAAGAATGTTTCCTATAATCGACCTGTGCACCTTTCTTCGAAGCACTGGAAAAGACAGAATAAACAATTCTCTTTAAAATTTCCGACCTCTACAGGATACTTCATTCAGAAGACATGTATGCATTTCGTGATTAATTTATTTTTGATTTTTTTTGATTCCAGTATACGCAAAAGGTGAAAAAAATTAAAAAGTTCATCTCTCCTACATGAGGCATCGTGTGGAGCTCTCAGATGTCTCATTTTAACGAGATTTGTTTATTCTATTCTTTCGTGTGATTCGACAAAGCTTCTTTTCGTTTATTTAAATAAATTTCTGAAAAACCGATTTCTGAGAAAATCTTTTCGAGAATTGCCTGCTTTTCTCAGATAATACTCTTCACCCATTGTACATGCTTTTTACGATTCATTCATGTGAAAAAATATGCTTTCACAAAAATTTGAAACCTTGTGTGTTAATATTACCTGTTCGTACCGATATGCTGTACATTTAAATATCATGCCTATTGATAAGAGAATTTCATCCTCGTCTTTGTTTGCAGTTTCTTCTCTTAGATAACCAAACGGTTTCGATTTGTTTCGTTCAGCATCAATTTCGATTTTAAATACAACAGAGACGTATCCAAGTGGAACCTTTCCTTCACCAGAAAATGCTATGGCAACATCTCGTTCATGTGTTGTTGACAAGAATGAATTTGTTAATACAAAACCACCGATATTATTTTGTAACTTTTTAAGTTCTTCTTCCATCATTATCATACCTCTGAACACAGTGAGCGGCGATGTTATCGTATCTACCATTTGCTGATGTAATCCTTTTAATTGATCGTATAGATCACGCATAAATATTCGTACTTTGAACATGAGTCGAATATTTTCTGTACGGCATGTTTTATTTACTACAGAGGATAAAAGAAATAAGGGACTAGTGTACCATTCAATAGGCGTTACATGAGGATATGTATTGTCAACAAGTTCAACTTTTTGGAGCATAAATTGATTATTTTGAAAATAACCTCTACAAAATTCAATAAAATCTGTTTTACTTTGTTCTGTTTTTGGTAATCGAAGTAACACTTCAGTTAACAATTGATGCAAAATAAATAAACGACTCTCTATATTTAAATTTTTCATTGGCTTTTTTGTTGCATCTATCTCTAAACTTTTAAATAGATTAGAATATTTTCCAACATCGTCCCTTATTCGTTCATCTAAACACGAAATATTGTCAATTTCTGATAATTTTCTATATTGTTTGATCCATGGGAACTCTTCACTGGATGAGTTAAATAAATAGACACAAAGAACTTGTTGCAATCTATTAATATCGGACAAATATTTCTCTGGCGGTAGAAAACCCGATATGATTAAAAATATTTTTTCTTTGGTCATTTGTCGTATATCATTATAACACTGTTCAATGCTTCTATATTGATTAATAGTTTGCACATAAGTTTGTAAACCAATCTGAATATGAACAGACTTCTCCTTATCATTTAAATCATTATCGAGCCAAATAATTCTAAACTCCTCAAGTTCTTCTTCAGATTGACGAAGCTGATCTGGCCTTTGTGTTGTTACAAAAGGAGCAGACCACGCTGTACTATCGTTGGTAGTCTGTAAAATAGCCATTGGCCTGACTTATATTTCCTCCAATTATAAGCCCTTGAGCTAATTGTATGCTTGCGCTATGATACGTATTTTTTATATAGTCTTATTTTATTCGGCCACCTTAAGAAAAGACCTTCGATTCTATGTGTACCTGTCTAAACACCAAAAGATAAGAACCGTAAAAAATGCAAAAGAACAACGAAATAACAAAACTACTGAAAAACAAAGAACACAGCAAAAGCAAGTAGTACATTTATAATAGAGCCTTAGCGTATAGCACATTTTAACGCGGTGTATATGTCGGCATTCAGACGCATTTGTTACGATAGAACGAAAAACGGAATCAAACGAAAAAACAAAAACGTTTCGCTTATTTGCGATGAATTACTATCCTACCTATAAAACACAAACAGCACAAAACAACGGAGAAAATCTGAGAAAAAAAATCTTTTTCTTTCTTCCGCATCAGGGTTTCCAATTGTTTTCGGGAATGGAAGGTGCTAAAAAATTTGCCTACCTCGCCTAAAGATCATACCAGCTATAGCCAAAAACGTTTTAGAGAATAATTCAACTATTTATTTCAACCTTTCTTTAATATTGAGACAACAATTTATAATAATTTTATTTCTTTAATATTAAGATAAATTTATTATTATGTCGATGTAACACTCGTGTTGACGCTCAACCGAATTGAAAGAAGAAGAAACGAACGAAAGAGAGAAGTAAAGAAAGCTTTCATAAGATTGTTATAATATTGTTTTATTGTATTAGGTGTCAAACTTCTGAAAAAGCAAAAAGTTAAAGTGAATTTTAGTATAACAGAGAAATATGTGAGAGAGTTGCGATGGTATTGTACCGTTTGAATAAACAAAGTTATAAAAATAAGTTTGTTTCAAGTCTTTTCTTATATGTCAATAGATACAGATATCCTTATATATACGAAAGTAACTTCTTTCCAAATTCTCCCTAACTTGTTCTGTGTTTTTAGAAAATGTGGTCTGATCGAGTTAAACATTTTACCAGACATACTCAAGGTAATATCATAGATTGGAACTGGAAAAAAAAATGGCAGTCTAAACGACACATCTTTTTCATCAATAGGAAGCCTATCGAAATTCGGTCAGAAGGTTAAAAAAGATTCAAATGACGTTTCTTTTTCGTTTTTTTTGTTTAAGTGAGGAGTAGCAGTACAAATCGGTCGTTTACAACTAGAGATTTTTAATTTGAATGGTTAAAATTTATATAAGCGCTGCTGTGAAAGCATACATGTCTCCTTCAATATGCCAGCCTTAAAAAGAAAGGTTATACGTTGAACAACCAGCTAGAGAGAAAGAAAGTATTTCTTTGTAACCAGAAAGAAAGATGAAATAAGACTTTATATTATCATAAAACACAATTATTTTACAGAAGCGGTTGTTACATATATGACAGATTCAAGATGAGAATTCAGACCAGATGGGAATTTCATCTAGGATATCGCCAGTAAAGTCCTCAATTCTGATGCTGTCTAAATAAGTTTCCATGTTTACTTTTCTGCCTTGTAAGTATCAATCGAATAAAAAAAGCTGCGCTCATTTGCTTTAAGCCTATTTGGACAACGCAATGAGACAAAATCAATGAGAAATGAAAATCATTTCACAATGTCGTATGTCCCATACATTGAAATAAATAAGTATTAGCTTCAACTAATGGTAGTTGCAAAATAGAGCGTAAAATAATAAAACATAAAGTATAAAACTACGTTATTATCTCTGTTGTAAAATTATTGACTTTTGGTGAATAAATATATATATCAGAGGTGTGCGGTCCACGAGTTTCGACCCACGGGATCATGTGGTGACGCGCGGGCGGGACAAGAATCTTCAAGGTCTGCACGGTTACGGCTAGTGTCAACACGCGGGCGATCCGGGGCGGGTAAAGCAGTGAAATGAAACATACGGGGCTCGGACGGGCGGGGTGTAAAATTTTCCTTTGAGACCGTTTCGGACCGTGAAAAGCTATTAAGAGATTTGATTCTCTTATGTATCTAGGAAGAAACGCATATTGATGACTAGTCCCTTATTTCTGGCCTATAGAAAGCGATTTGGCTCGTGATTTGTTTGTTCCATATCGTTTTTCATATTGAATGCTGATCAATACGTGAGAAAGTGATTGCAGTTCATTTGATTCTTAGAATTGATATTTGACATAGTTCTCATCTTTATCAATATTCAACATCCAAAGTTATAAATTATTATCAGATGAACCCTCCGATGTAACGATCTCACTAAAAACTGCTCATTGGTACCCAATTGCTTGCAGTTACTTATTTAAGGCTCAATTGATAACGCGAACTACCTATAATACAAGGCTATCTAATCTTTGCAAAAGAGAAACCGTAGAAAATACAATTGTGTAAAATCATAGAACAAATATTGCAAAACTATCTCCATGATAGACTTTATTTGTCACTGTTGCAGGAAAAGATGAAAGTTATCGCCATCACGTCGCTGGAAAATTTGCAGCATATATTTCTTGTAACCCTACTGGCGCATAAACAAACAGTCAACTAAACTATTTAAGTCATACAAATGCCAAAAAGACCCATCGTGTTCATCATATTTCTCTACGGCTAACTCAGTTCATTCATGGTTTTTTAAAAATTTGTTCCAAATAGGTTTTCTACAATTAAGTCCATTTCTGGACTCTAAAATCAACGATTTTTCTATTGAGAAAACTGGATGTGCGATACAAAGTAGACGAATAAAATCAAATTTCGTGATTAATAAAAGTTTCAAGAATTGCACGGGGGCGAGGCGGGGCCCCGTCAGGAAATTGACGGGCGGGCAGATCGGGTTGGGGCAGCTACTGCCACGGGGCGCGGACGGTTCAGCAAAAAAGAAATTCACGGGAAGGACGGAGCTGTTTAAAAAACTTGCTCACGGGACGAGGCTCGCCGGGCATGAGAAGATCTTGCCCCGTACACCTCTGATATGAATATTTTCGAATGAATATATATATATATATATTCATTCGTTGATATTCATTATCATGAATGTGTTCTTAGAATGAGTCCTGTGCGTACTAACGAAATACAGTACCACAATTACCACCTATTTTCCCAACACACGAAATCATCTTATGCAAAGACGAAATTTTCGGTTGACTTATGTCGGAGACTCCAAGACAGACACGGTCATATAAAAGAATAATCAAATTGACTCAAATATATATACTTTCTATCGGTTTAATTACCGCTATTTACAACTCGTATGAAATGCTGACTAGGAGTTTTACAAATAATAATAATTGCGTGTAGTGAACGAGTAACAAACAATAATAAAACTTCATTTAGTAATATTAATAGTATTTAAAGGCAATCATTTCTGAATCAATATAATAATCGATACAGTTATGTCTAATTTCATTGTTTATTTAAATAAACAATAAAATTAGACATAGCTGCATCAATTATCATACTCATTTAGTAAGAGTAAAATCAATGCAAAGCAAAAAGACTTTTGTTTCTCTAAGTGATCTCAACCTTCGCCACAAGATGATGAACACACACTAGCATCATCCCATAGTCAATCACCTTGTGATAACCAGGAACTCAAGCTAACTGAAACTTCAATAGATAAACGTATGTGAGTTCAGTCGTTAATATCGATAAATTTTATTCATTGAACAGATTTCGTCTCATAATATTCGTCATGCATAATTTGATTATAATTTATACTTTCATCTCTGTAAACAGCATCGATAAACATTGCTGATGTTGTCTTTCAGGTGGATCTGTTATTTGCTTCAAAAGCTACGTTTTCCAAATAGTTTTGCTTCTAAAGATTTTACGAAGCAAAAATTACAATTTTCGTTCTATTAGTTATGTTGACGCAATCGATATTAGAGAAAGTACACATCAGAGATGAGCGATATAAGGATTCTCGCGACGTCCGCCGGGTGAACCCACGTCCCCTTTTTGAAAGTTTGACGAGGCAAGAACTTCACAAGGAGAACTCCGCGAGTGACAAACTTTCTTGTGAGTGAGAGACGGAATGGAGACTCTGAACTGAAATCTTTTCGTTTCACGCTTGAAGAATATATTCGTTTAATACGTATAACAGGCTAACATCGAGAAGGCAGTCAACAGTTTTTCTCGGCTTCGTCGTGTAATTCAGTCATCTCTCTCTTTAGATTGAATATGGAGTGTCACGATATAAATGTATGTATAAGATTCAGAGATAAGTTTTAAAATTGAAGTTTTAAACTATGAACCAAAAAGCACGTTTGGATATAGCTGTAGTTTGAGAAAAAAATTTTGAACGTTCTTTCAGGTTTTTGAAATTGAAATAAAATCTTTAAATTTTAAAATGAAGACTCTTTCTTTGCGTCATTAGATAGAGGACATCAAATTGTATGTAGAAAAAAGTGTTGATTGTTCCAGAATGAAGTTTGACGGAGAAATAAAAGTAATAAAAATTTGGATAAATTTTTGAGCAAAGGGATACTATTAAAAAATTTCCTGGCCGTTCTGCTTTCACAGTAAAAATTTGGTTCTTGTCTAGATCGAGAGAGAAATATGTGGAAAATATTTACCGTGGGAGCGAAAGAAAAAAGTTGCACTCTTTTCTTCCTATTAATAACTAATTAGTGCTAATTAACGTTAATTCAGTCTACTTTACTAGCTCACAGTTCATCTACAAATAACCATGACTGATCAAAAAAATTCAAGTACTACCTCATCTGATAGAGAATTTCATGGGCTACAACAGAGGCTATCATAATTGTTTCTGAGTTTATCTGTGAAGGTTCAATAAATCTGTTTTTGGTACGGTAAGGGCTCTTTCAGGTACTACTACAACGCCAAACTATTGAAAGTGCCTTTTTGATTGTTTTCCCTCTCGCAGACGCTGCTGAACACGTGTACCGTTTTCAAACGCTCGTATTTTGAACTTCTTACAGGAATTCAAAGAGACGTTTAGATAGCGTTTGCTGTAGCGCATGAAATTCTCTGTCAGATGAAGCAGTGCTTGAATTTTTTCGTTGAGTCATTATTTTATAGATGGAATGGCGAGCTAGTGAAGTAGAATGAATTAGCGTTAATTAGCACTAATCACTTATTAACAGGAAGAAGAGTGAAATTTTTTTTCTTTCTTTCCCGCAGTAAATATTCTCTACACATTTCTCTATCGATCTGGACAAGAACCAAATTTTTACCATGAAGTTGGAACTGCCAGAAAATTTTTTAATTAGTAAATTACTGAAATTCAGTTACATATCTTTACAACAATGCATCACGATAAAATCCGATATTTCCTAAGTATTGAGCGCACGATAAACGATTTGTTCATCGAGTTTACGAAATTTATTTGCTTTACCATCAATTTTACAACTATGGCCTGTAGAAGGTTTCACAATTGTTCGTAATAATTTTATTTACCAGTTTTTAACTGGTGCATGCCTAGTAATACTACATGTATGAAGACGTGAGTGACAATTTTGAGAATAATAATTAATACAATGCCAATATGTTTTTTCATTCGTAGAGATTCCTATCCTTTAGATATCAGAAACCATCTATATCCAAACCTGCAACTAACAACTAACAACTCTTCACCTTCGTAATCTTATTAAAATACCGTTAAAATCTCACTCAACATTCAGAAATTAAATTGGTATAGTGAAAACCAGCTGTAAATAATAAATTTCACCTATCTACACGGTCCGTTATTCAGCGTTTGCACATATGCACATTTGCATATTGTTGCTTTAGAGAGAAAATAATTTAAACTTCATTTGCTCTATAATATGTGTCATCAATATTTCGAAGTTCATCTTGAATCGCTGAGATGAAATTCTTCGTATTAGCAACGCTCTGTTTTGTCGTTAGATACTCGTCGCGGTAATCATTTCGCCGTTGCCGATTATCACCAAATCTGTCTTCGTAAGAGCTTCGATGAAATCTGTCGTTGTTGTTAGTATCAGATGTTTTTCGCAGTCGGTCAGTATTGGTAAATGCACTGGGCTGCCTACCGTCGTTTTGCGATGGAAACTGTACTTTGGTCGAGTCGATGTGGTCTGTCTCAAACGCGTGCGATCGACGACTGCTGTTTGATATAGCCGTTTTTGCTCTGATGTCGTTTTGTCTCACTTGATTCGGTTCAGTTCGGCTTCGAGATACACGTTGTAGAGATGGGGGTTCTTCATCACTGTTTGGTGAGTATGTTCGTCGCAATTTAACTGGTATCGGCCGAACGATATTGTCTGATGTAGTCCCCGCTATATACGGATTATATCTCAGTCGAACCGAATTAGAACCTGGTCGATCGTTGCGGTGGACAACAGAGGAGTGACGCTGCTGATCTTCCGTAATTAAATCAGATGAGTCACTGCTGTCATTCGAATCGCTTTTTGACAAAAATGATTTTCTACGGCGCTGTTTACGTCGTTTCAATGCTTGAACTCGAAAATCGTTGTTGAAATCGCCATCAGTAGCTTTGCTCGATACTGCATTCAATGGATTTTGTAATTTTGTTCGCTTTACTTCGATTCCTACTAGAGGTGGCATTGGTCTCCGAGAAGGGGGTGGATAGGATTTTTTGTAATAGTCATGCTCATCTCCTTGGGGAACAAGAGCTTCGGGTTTCTGATCAAATATTGGATTATCATATTGATAAGTTTGCAGCTGACGTGTCTGACGATTTGATGGAGCTGAAAACAGCGACAGTAGCCGTATGAAGGATGTTTTTCAAAATTGCTTTAAGTTTAGATAAAAATTGAGCTAGCACTAATTCACACTGAGAGATAACAATCGTTCTGTCCTCTATCTTCAACTGGCTATCGATGTTCGAAAAACTGAGAACCTTCAAGACCTAACTCTCTACAAAAACAGAATTTCAGCTCTTCAGATCCTGAACTGGCAATATCTTACAGGAATTAGTATGTGGCCATGAACTTTGAAAAATTATTAAAAGCCATTTCTGTTAGGTTCAACCCTCAGATGATGCTATGTTGAAAATTTCAGAAAGCACATGAGTTACGAAGGAACCACCGAAGGCGATAAATCGATTTCGGGTTAGGACTATTTTTGTTAGAAAGGCCCTAACGTGTAGTGAAATACCCCAACTTGGTTCATCCCCATGGTGCTTTGTTGCTGAGATACTGAAATTTATGCAATTTTCGCCTATAGGGCTTGGATTTCGAGTAAAATCCGACTTTCGAATTTGATTTCAAACTTGCAATCCATGATCATAGTAGTAAAACGAAAAAATATTCGGTGCTAATGAATTTTCCTACCTTGAGATATTGAGACTCAAATATCTGACCCTCACCCTTATCATCTGGTGAAATGTTCGAGTCTCAATATCTCAAGGCAGGAAAATTCATTAGCACCAAATATTGTTTCGTTTTACTACTATGATCATGGACTGCAAGTTTGAAATCAAAATTCGAAAGTCGGATTTTACTCGAAATCCAAGCCCTATAGGTAAAAATTGCATAAATTTCAGTATCTCAGCAACAAAGCACCATGGAGATGAACCAAGCTGAGATACTTCACTACACGTTAGGGCCTTTCTAACAAAAATAGTTCCAACCCGAAATCGATTTATAACCTAGAGTGGTTCCTTCGTTAGTCTAAATAGCAGTTTCGTCTGCTGTCCAAAACCTTGGTAATTACTAACGAGAAAACCTAGCCAAGTGATACCTTCCGATTTCGTTTGTTCATACATCGATCGATAGAGGGTATCGAGCTAGTAAAAAGCTTAAAAGTACTTTTCCCCGTGACTCATGAAGCCCCGATTTTCTGGAAAACCAGTTTTTCGGAAACTCTAAAAAGTAACTAAAACTTTTCTTAATGGAACATGACTGTAGCCTACAACTTTTTCATTTTAATCAGAAATTTGCGGGCTACAATGATTAAGAAAGGTTTTAGTTACTTTTTAGAGTTTCTGAAAAACTGGTTTTCCAGAAAACCGGGGCTTCAAGAGTCATGGAGAAAAATTCTTTTAGGCTTTTTACTAGCTCGATACCCTCTATCGATGTGTGAACAAAGAAATGGGAAGGTACCACCGCCGGTGGCCACCTGATTAGGTTTCTTCGTAAGAGAGCATTTCAGAATTCCCGCCGTTCTCATGCCGCTCTGCTGCGGCAAAACGGATTTAGTTTTAATGACATTTAGATATATCACCGGTTTCTTTTGATGCATCTATACTTTTACACGAAATTTATTGAAATTCTCTCTACGATTTGTATAAATTGGAAAAAATGTTCTTATCATTTGTGTATATATATATATAATATTAAATATTATCACAAATCTAATAATTACTAATATTTTTATTAAATTTTGTCCTTATTTGACTGCAGTTTTTATTTAGCGGCTCTTAATATTGATCAGGGAGCATATAAAATTGTTTGCCGCTCGGTCGTTTTGCAGCATCTTTATTAAATTCTAATTTATTTTATTTCGTTTAATTTCGGTTCCATTGATTGTATTGTGGATACATATATACATTGGCATATATATACTTTCAATGTTTTCCTTATTTCTAAAATACGCGTATTGTAGTATGTAAGCAAGAGAATGCAATAAACAAAGAAGAGAACGTTTTTATTTGCATTTACTACTATACAAGAAATATACCTCAAATACACTTTGCTTTTGCACATTTTGTACATATTCAACTACACTTTTTTTTTAAACTTCTTTGAAGAGAAGACTACTTTTTGTTGAAAGGATAACGGAGGGTTTTAAAATATATGTCGAAGGTTAAAACTCAGAGCAATTTAGAATCCCGGCAGAGGAACTTCAAATTTTAAGCTCCACTAGGACAAACAATGTTTTTTTTTAAGAAAATTAGCTTGTTTTGATTTCCTCTAGGGAGAAGTAAAATTTTAATTTCTCCTATAGGAGAATTTTAAATTCCCCCACAGTAGAACAAATATACAGCTATTTCCTCTTAGAGGAAATTGCAATAAATACGACAGGACGACTGACGTTGGCTTTACTATAAACGACATTAGAATCTCCAATTTTGACCAGTGCGAGAGTTTTTGAGCCCAAAATTCGAGCTACACATCACCCCAGCCATCGTGCAATACGAGAATAATATTGTCGTACATGTCTTTTCTAATCAGAAATTTTGCACGACATTTGGTGTTGAGACTTTGAATGTTTTGGTGTTGTGACTTGAATTTTTCATAAGAGGAAACTAAAATAGCGGTATATTTGTTCTACCGTAGGGGAATTTAAAATTTTACTTTGCCTTAAATAAAATAAAAAAATTTTCTTAAAAAAATGTTAGACAAGATCCTATTTGAATTTGCCCTAGAGGAGCTTCATATTTCAAGTTCCGCTAGGAGAATTTTAATTTCCCCTTCGACATATACTTCTGTCTAATCTTCTTTTCTAATTGATTTGATTACTTCTTCAAACACAATTAACCGCTGTGTGCCAAAAAATTATTCTTTTATCAACCTGTCAAAAACACATCTACTTTTCTTTTACAGTTTATTCTACTCTGATACTACTATTTTCGCTTTCCTAAAAGAGAAATTTTTCTGTTTTTCTGTTTAAAGGATATGGTAAGAAAAGAACAAATTTAATATTTTAATCAAATGTTCATCTTTTAAATATTCAAGGAAGAGAGTGCTCACTGTAAATTTATTTTGTATTGTACCAACTTCGCGAACTAAACTTACATTAATTAAAGAAGACACATTTCCGTCCTTTATACTAGTTTAAAGTAAACGATTCGTACACGATGATAAAAGGGATTTATGCATATAATCGTAAATCGTAAAGAGAATTTCATTAAAGGACGGGGTGCAATAAGAACGAGGATCGACCCCATTTCAGATCTTCTCGAAAGGTGTCTGGAATGAAAGAGCATACAATTTTATGGAGTCCTACACCCTTGGTTCCGCTTCGGACCTCGTATGTGTCAGAAAATCGATCAACTTTGAACAATAACTCCACTAGTCCATTCCAAGGCGTTTTTCGTAATTTTCTCAAAACACAACAAGTTTGACGGAAACTCCTATATACCATTCGATGTGGCTTTAAACGGTGAACAAAACTGTCTATTGCTCAATTGTTATGTACACCGTCGGAACCCATGTCTTCGTATCTGCTATCCATTTCAAAACAGAATGGTCGCGGATGTTTTCTGTATAACATTCGAACGAAAAGAGCTAGATAGGTCCGATTTTCAGTATTTTTAGATAACGGCCAGTTTGCGACATGATTCTATGAAAAATCCGAATTATCGCGAAAGGTCTACTATGGTATATCTTTTGAGTGAAAATCTAGGACATTCGACTTCCACCATAACAGTTTCAGGTTTTTGATTCTTTGATGTGAATCTGATCCAGGGAACTGTCCTCTTTAATTCTACGCAACTCACAAGTCTCAGACTACCATGGTATGCTTGTGTTAGCAGTACTGCTTCCGTCAAAATAAATTAAATGTTTAGTGTACAATTTTCCTCTACATTCTCATAAAGTCTCCAAAACTTCAGCTTAAGCCCCCTCCCCTCAGAATGAAATCTTTTTGAATCAAAAAATCAATTTGGAGACAAGCACATGAAAAGATAGCCTGGCGTATCTACTTTCACAATCTGTATCGCTTTCGGGTCTAGAACTGATTTTTCGTGGCAAGTTTTTCCGAGAAAGTTTCCTAGAAGCCTTGAAAACCAGAATCTTTAAATAACACTTTCTTTCTGAACACTTAAGCAAGTAAATTTTCTCTGAAAATGTAGATTTGTAGAGCAGACTTTTCTGATCAAAATAAGACGTTGCACAGCTCTGTGTGATCTTGCGTTCAGGCGTTACAGGCATTTTCCTGCATGTCCTAAAATAGATACACCTGCTGCTGGATGCATCAATTAA